TTCGCAACCGCGGGGAGGCGGAGCGGCCTCGTCAGGTCCGTCGAAATCGTACGAATCTGACGCCTAGATCTACACAAACCATAACCCCAGATGAAGAAAATGAAAAAAACAGAAGAACCAGGGCGTTCAGAAGAAAAGGGAAGCAGAAGAACTAAGAGCTTCGATTCCTAGTTTCCACCGTAACTACCGCCAGGGCCTCGACTTTATTCGCCGCCGCGAGGAGGCGCAGAGACCTCGTCGGATCCATCGGTGCCGTCGTATCCTGACCCCCTAGATCTACATAAACCCTAACCCTAGATCAAGAAGAAGAGAAAAAATATAACAACGAGAACGATCAAAAGAAAAGGAAAAGAGAAGAAAAAAAAAGAACCAAGGTTCCCAAAGCTTCCACCGGAGCCACGGCCCTGGCCTCGATGCATCCGCCGTGGCGGGAAGGAGGAACGGCCTTGTCGGGTCCGTGGGAGCCTGCCATCGACGAGAGCTTTCTCGGAGAAGAGGGGATCGCGCGACACATGAGAAACACCGAACAAGAATGGCGAGGACACTCATCATTTGGGCTTCTTGTAATCTCAGCCTGGAAGTAAAAAGGCCCAAATCAATGCAAGACGCTCAATTTAACGCCCACACAGATCACGTCCAACCCGAATCTTGACGCCGCAAGCCAACTCAGGAAGTGCCATTTATGGCCCAAGTCGATCATTTCCAACCCGAATCTTGACGCCGGAACTCAATGTCGATTGCCACCGTCTACCTCGTCACACGGATCCTTATCACCGTCAAAATCTTTTCTCCTCCTCGCTTATATATATATATACATATATCGCACTTTCAAATATTCTCATTCATCTTTCCATTTTTCTCATTTTCATGTGAATCGACTAATGCGGTGAACCAAATAGTTATATATATTTTTAAATAAAAAAATTAAAAAAGGTGGCCGACAGGGGTTGGATTTGTGCCTATATATATAAAAGACATAAATCTAAAGTCAGGTCCCATATCCTTTAAAGGATATGGCAAGGGAATTAGAAGATGTTGAATGATGCTGCCGTCATTCCGTAGCTCATACACAATGCTGCCGTCATCGGTTAGCAGATGTTGAATGATCTGCTTATCGTCAAGGGAATTAGAAGGTCTAGAAAAGGGCAATAAGCCAAACCCTGTGAATAATGTTCTTTAATATATAGGACAAGTTGATAATAGTAAGGAAAAGGACTGTTAGATTTCGCTAGATCTAACCTTCTTGTTAGCCATCAACATCATATCTATTCTATAAGCAATGAATACACACACACTATCCATTGTCTAGGATGAACTTCCAACCACTCCAATCAAGTTTATATAAGTATAGCTTACCATATGACATACTGCTGCAAGATCTCAGTAGATCTCATGGCAGGTGCAGGATCAAGTAAAGAAGAGAAATGGAAGAAGCATATGCATATGTCTCCTGAACCAAATCTTGCTTCCAGACATGTCCTGTAGGCATAAGAAGACCCTCTTCAAACGGCAGACATGTTTGATCTATTGAGCTTTAGGGAATTGTTTGAGCTTATTAATCATGGCTTCTGTCCCACAACAGTTGAAGGTCTGCTTCTGTACCGAAGAAACCGCTACACTGCAACATTAGAGTTCCACACCATCCTGGAAACAAACAATCCATGGGGAAGACAGGAGGAGGTGAACCCTAATGGAAGGAAGGGATTCATCAGAGTGAGAATCATAATAAGCCAAGAGAATTCAAAGGAAAGCTCTGGATAAAGAACACCAAACTTAGTTAGCACCTTCCTGGACACAAGATACAAGACTTTCCCGATCAACCTGTCATGGGAAAGCATGTCAATGATTCATGCATCATGAATGTTCGGAAGATCAAAGTAGTAGATGATCGGACATTGATTATGCAACTCAATGAACTTAACACAGCATTGATCAAATTTCAGATGCTAAAAATACAAAGTGCAATATGAGTTTCATGGTCCTAAAAAGTGCCACATAAAGTACAGAGGAGAGCAGTCGAATCTTGTAATATAAGTTCAAAGAATTACACTGCAAAAAAGTTTAGACAGCAAAATGCAACTCCAGGAGAAAAATACCATACCTCATTTCACGAGCAGCCTCTTGCAAATAATGACCATGCTTTGGTCGACCACCCGACCAATCACAAGTCTCAATCTCACATTTGACACCTAAAGCAAAACATCTCACAATCTAGCGGCCGCGTATGCTCGAAAACAAGAACACTGATTGCAAGAAATAAAAAGGTAACCAGAGATTACCCATTTTGTTCACTCTGTCGCGCGCCAAAATCGCCTCCTCTGCGCTCTCGGCACGCAACCTTGTTCTTTGTGACCGAACCATCCAATTTCCATCCCGCCGTCTTCAAGACGCACAACGCCATGCTATCGGGTCCGCCGGAGACGCCCAAAGTTGCCAAGCACGCGAAGAAATCCGTTGGATCAAGCAATACGAAAACTCACCAAACGAGGATGAAAGATGGGATCTCCGAGCACCAAGTCGGTGGTGGGGTTTGATCATTGATGCCTAATTAGATCATTGATGCTTGTAAAAATACTACTCAAAAATCGGTTAAGTAGAATCACGAGACTAATTAGATCATTGATGCCTAAAATAATATTCTTATTTATTCAAAATAATGTCAATTTAATATTGTGATCGTTATAGCTTATAATTGCAACTTCTACCTTGCAACTTATTAGAATCTTTATGGTCAAAATATCAATCATCTCAACACTCTAAAACCATCCACTCTAAAACCATCGCAAGTAGTATCCAATGTTATGACTTCAGTCACACTTAAGATAAAATAATTTAAGTCTATGATATATGCTATCATAATGAGATAAATATACTAAAATATATTTGGCATGTAATATTGGAGACCTAGTAAGACTACTTAAATGGCAATCACACGTATGAAAAATAGTCGCTTAAAATAGTAAGCATTTGAAATTAATATTTAGCGAAATGATCAATGCTTTATGTCAATAGTAAGTATACTAGTAAGTATACTAGTATAGTAAGTATATTAGGAAGAATATGTTTGTATAAAAAGATTGACATGGCTAAGTTCAAGAAATGAATTGATATCATAACCTAACTTGATAGTGATCAATACAAGCGATAGTGCATGGATATAAATGAGACCATGCAAGTTGGTGATGTGTTGATAACAATAGAAAGATTTATGTAAAGGCTCGAATAGGCAAGGGAAACTATTGGCTCAACAAATTTGGTACTTATATGATAACTTGTATATGGACTATGAATGCCCGTAGCCATCCTAAGGTAACTAAAGTTTGATACCTAAATTTTATAGTGGGTATAATACACTATTATGTCTTATGACTATAGTAGAGGGTTACGAAGTATCACAATCTAATAAATGCATTTGTTATGACAAAATAATATATTATTTTATTCTCTATAAGACGAAGTATTCTTGAGGGAAGTTAGTCTCCCAAACTCTTGAACAAAGTATGTGAAAAGAATAGTTATTCCAACATAATAAATTTCTAGATGATAATCATAGATTAATGATAGAGAACTCATGTGCAGATCACACATTTTGGGAAGATACTTTAAGATAACTCGAAGGAGATTGAAATCAAGTGAGTGGTGAGATGTTGTCACAATATCTCAGTTTAGGTTAACATGTCAATGCATTTAATAGTAAGAGAGTTATCGAAAATAATATTAAAGACAAATGCTCACATCGATAGTCGATGAAGAGAACATTAAGCTCATCAAATGGTTGACCAATATATCGATGCGCGTAAGAGCAATCATCATCTAAATGTAAATCGAGGGATGAAATAATATGTGTTTAAACTTGGCGAATAATTCAAGCTGCATAAAGGTAAAACACTTGCATTTACAAGAGCATGACTATGTTATTAATCAGACACTATGATGCTAAATAATTTGAGAGTTATATTAATATTTTTTTTTTAATTTAGATCAATAATAAATTTAATAAATGATGAAATTTAAAAAGATAATAATACTCCAGAGTCAAAAATTAAGTTAAAGACTTGGCAAAAATGATATTAAAAAAAAACTAGAGACTAGAGTTTACTACTTAATGACCATTGCACCTCTCTTTCTTCTCTTCTCTTGATAATATAGAGTCTAATGGCTCATCCTCCTCAATGATAGGGAGTCCCTGACGCAGAGTGAGAGAGAAATCAATCAATAAATATAATAAGATTTTTTTTTATTTTGATAAACCCCAAGATGCATGCATCTTCTAAATATTTAATTACCCTAATCAATAATCTAGTAGATCTTATATATATATATATATATATATATATATATATATATATAATA